AGATATTTTATATTAAATATATTAAGTAATTTAAGAAATAGTTTCTTATTGATGTCTTCAAATTTTAGGCATTCCACCTGATCAGCAGAGATTAATCTTTGCTGGCAAACAATTAGAAGATGGTAGAACTTTATCAGATTATAACATTCAGAAGGAATCTACATTACATTTGGTATTACGTTTAAGAGGTGGAGCTAAAAAACGTAAGAAGAAGAATTACTCAACTCCCAAGAAAATTAAACACAAGAAGAAGAAGGTTAAGCTTGCTGTGCTCAAATTTTATAAGGTATGTAAAACTGTTGCAATTTTAACTAAATAAAGAACTATTTTTCTGTATACAGAAATATCAAGTGACCTTGATTTCGCTATGAGAACAAACTATTTTCGAAATTTTTATTATCGCCATTTGTTGTACACTTAGTACCGATAAATTTTTGTTGAAAACTTTTTTTATCACATGGCCGTAAATGGCTGAAAAATCGTGTGTCGCGTTACACGAGACACCCTGTATATTTCTGAATTATTTATGTTACACAGGTGGATGAAAATGGAAAAATACATCGATTAAGAAGAGAATGTCCCATGGAACAATGTGGTGCGGGAGTTTTTATGGCTGCAATGGAAGACCGTCATTACTGTGGCAAATGCGGTTATACCCTTGTATTTAACAAGCCGGAAGATAAATAAATTAAAAACATGTATCTTTATGTAATTAAAGAAATTTAATAAACACAAGTGTGTTATATTTTATTGTATATACCTATGCGTCAATTTAATTATTTTATATAAAATTATTGCTATATTGATCATAAGAGCACAGAAACAAAATATACAAACTAATGTCTTTAAAAATTATTATTTTCTGTTGAAATGAAGGAGGTATTGAAGGAAAGCTGTTTTAAAAATTATTTATTTTCTTTTTACATTATGCTAATATATATCTTCTATTCACACACGCAACATAAATACAGGGTGAAGCTTAATTCCCAATGCAATCGAGAAGGGAATAAATCTATATGTGAAAATAATTTAAAAAATACGTATAATGTTTTATAGTGCGAGGTTTTATTTTTAAAAATATCGATTTTAAAAATTTGTCAAATTTGCGTACAGTTGCACAGTACTTAGTTATTGTATCACTCCATTACTGATTATTTTTATCCTTGATTGTATTTGTATACACTGACAGTGTAAATAATATAAGTTTTACATATTTTATAACTTAAACATCATTATCAATATTTGCAAACATAATCAAAGATAAAAATAACCAGTAATTATGTGATACAGTAGCCAAGTTCTATACAGTTGTATGTATATACGATGAAATTTTGCAATACATTTTTTCGAAAGTAAAACCTCGGGCAGGGAAACGTTATACAAAATTTCGTATTTATTTCTTCACATAGAATTATCTTCTTTTCAATTATACTATGAATTGCATGCTATCCTGTATCTGTATATTCATACTTCCAGTCAGTTGCATCGAATCGTACCATGGATAACAAATGCGTGGCGGCAGTTATATGTAAATAGCGTGCGATGCAAAAGTGTCATGTACAGAAATTATGCTGTCAACAGTCGTCCGCTCATTTGATGTCGATAAAATTAGTAATTGACATACCGACAGTTTATTTTATACCCGTTACTTTTCATAAAAAGAGGTTTCTGAATTTTATGGTTTCTTTTT